GAGGGATCCCTTAGGGTTTTCAGCTCTTCCATCTGAAGCACTTCTCTATAATAATTATCATAACCGTACATAATTTTCAAGGCTCTCTTTTGGACACGCTCTAAACTTAAGCTCAAATAATTGGGGAAACTATAATGGTAGACCTGACATCCATAAAGTAATTAAGACAGATTGAATTATAAGCAACATAAAAAGTTACTAATTCTGGTGATGGTACCTTAGCTCGCTTTAACTGAGTTAAAAAATAAACTAAGGCGCTTAGCGGCCTTTTTAATCGACTCAGTAACGTAAGTGTTCCGCTTGAGGTTGTCTTGAAAATACACACCCAGTAATTTCACGACACTAACGGCACCAACCTTAGAGCCATTAATTTCTATGAGATCGTAGCAAGGAGGGGAGCGCACAAAGGAAGCTCTTAGCTCATTACATTCTTTAGGATGGAGTTGAAACGAGTTGAGTGTTGACCAGGTAGCTACTTGCTTATTGGCTATTAATATGTTTATTATATGGCTGTGTCTTATATGCCAATTTTTTATATTCTTTGTACCTTTTTTTTTTCTAGACCGGTCTAGATGACGGTCTAGATGGGAAATTCTAGACCGCTTTCAATATTGATTTCAGCCAATCAAATTCGTGAATTTGGTAGTTCCCAGTCCTTGTGAGACACAGCCATCTAATAATCTCTGATAAAGCACGCTCTTTCGACAAACGAGAGCGCGCGTTATATCCAAATATAATCGGTCGATGGTTTGATGGCGCCTGTGCCAGGAATATATAAAAACCGCCACTGCTCACGGGTTCAACAGACGGCGGTAGGAGGTCTTCTAGGCGGCGGTAGACCGCTGACCGGCTTTTATCAAAACACTTCATTAACTTCCTATTTGATTGCACTCATATTTGATTTGATAGAATGATTGGCTGCCTGTTATGGTTTTCCTGCTGATCGATCCGTCGATTTAGCCATTTACCCACCATTCATCCACTCGGCAGCGCATTTAAATCTGAATTCTTTCTTTTTGCTCTTTATACATTCCCAGTTCGGGGTTATATATTCTTTCGTTCATACCTTCAACCGTTCGTATTCTCATGTATTATAACCCTAAGTTTTCTTGTATCTTTCGCAGGAAATTTCTCTACTATGACAGCCACTTTTTCATTTGAGCGGCGCATCGGTTATTTCCTCATCCAAATCTACTTTCCTGACATTTTCGTCGTAGTGCTAAGTTGGACTGTTTTTTGGATGGAAAAAGATGACATGGGCAACAGAATGGCTTTGGGATTCACCACGATATTAACCATTATGTTTCTCCTTGGTTCTCTTAACGGAAACTTGCCCAAGGTCAGCTACGCAAAGGCCTTGGACTGGTATTTACTGGTGTCATTCAGCTTTGTGTTCCTGTCTTTGATCGAATGCATGGTCGTGTTTCTTTTTGCATCGAAAGCAAAACAAGATGAGACAGAGATTAAATACAAGGTAAGTGACAGGTCGTTATTTATTACCGGGCCGGGTGGAGGGAGGTGGGGGGAGCGAAGTTTAGGAATTTGGGAAAGGGATCACATGGTTTTTCAGGGGGAAACGATGGCGGATATCAGTGGTCGCCAATAGGGTATAAAGGGGAACTATTGAAAACTGATTATCATGACAGAAAATTTCCCTGCTCTCTAGGGATATTTAACAATTACTCCACTCACGCTTGTTGGATATGAGATGATAGATAGCCAACGAGGCGCGTAGCGCCGAGTTGGCTATAATCATCTCATATCCAACAAGCGCGAGTGGAATTATTGTTTTATTAAAAACGCCCCAAGAAATTATTTTTTTTTAAGAAGAAACTGGATTTTTTAGCTCCCTTTTGATTTTAAGCTGACGCGTACGCTTACCATATTTGTAGATTATGGTATAATGGCTAAGCCAATATAAAGTCTTGAATTGCATTATCCAATGCTCCAGTTTTTATTAATTAACAATTATTCCACGAGCGCGCGTTGGATATTAGATGATAGATAGCCAACGAGGCGCGTAGCGCTTCGTTGGCTATCATCATCACATGTTGGCTATAATCATCACATATCCAACAAGAGCGAGTGGAATAATTGTTTCATTAAAAACGTTAAATTAAGTTATTAAATTTTATTAAATTTTTAGCTTCCTTTTATTTTTAAGCTGACACGTACGCTTGGCATACTTGTAGATTATGGTATATTGGCTGATATACTATAATGGCTAAGCCAATAACATGTCTTGAATTGCAATATCCAATGATCTAGTTTTTAATAAATTCAGTTAACCCTCCCCCCCCCCTCTTCTCGGCGAGCACTGATCTCCCCGACGTTCCCGCCACTTGCCATCCCCTTCCCTTCTAACCTTAGGCGATGACTGGTTTCTAATCCAAGTAAATATTTTAATTTCTTAGAAGAACGACATTCCTCTTAGAAACCGATTCTGGTCGTCACTGAGGTCTGTGATTGGCTCAAACTCTCCTTCATCTAACTCTCCTAATGGAGGAGTTTCCAATATTGGTTGTGACGTCGACGGCCTGGAAATGGTGCACAGGGCAACGAAAGTTGGTAACATGGTGGTGGACGATAGTTCAGTGCAAGAAATGACGAGTACCAATAGCAAAAGAATGGAAATGATAGCGGACAAGATCGATAGAGCATCACGAGTTATTTTTCCTTCGATTTTTATCCTCTACAATATTTTCTACTGGGCATACTACTAACTCGCAAAATATTAATATATTAGTGACATTTTGGCACTATGATATTTTAATTAATGATAAAGGGGATGACGATAGATCTGCCCAGGGGAGAAAATATCGCTTAAGAGAGATGCATTATGGTATTTTCTCTCCCAGAAGTGAGCAATGTGCGACTGTGCAGCCTCCCCTCAAAAAATCGCGGCAACGCCAAGTAAACGAAGAAAAAGCGATTTAGAAAAATAGTTCACGATAAAAAATTGCGATAAAATGATTTTAAACCATTAAGATACAATTTTAAACTCGAACTGAAATTGAACGTGTGGGCGGATTTCATTCGTGTTCAACATTTTGTTTAGTAACTGGTTTGAACCCGGGGGTAACATGTGAAGGTGTAGTCTGATCGTCCGGGTGAGTGTAGTCCTGAGAAGGACTGTTGTCGCTGGTAGTGACTGACGTTTCGACAACCTGTGCGGAAGTCATCATCAGAGTCAAGTGACTCTTGACTCTGATGATGACTTCCGCACAGGTTGTCGAAACGTCAGTCACTACCACCAACAACAGTCCTTCTCAGGACTACACTCACCCGGACGATCAGACTACACCTTAACATTTTGTTTAGTTTTTCTTAGTTATTTATTGTTTTCGATGTTTTAATCAGTACCTATTGTTATTGTAGAATATAAGCCTCCTAACTTATCATTCTTTTTAACTTGATAAGGACGTTATGGTAACGTCGAAACGCCGTCGACAAGCTTTTTTTCGCCTTTTTAAAATGTATCTTCATGGTATTGGACGTATTTTATCGCAATTTTTTATCGTCAAATGTCAAGTAAACAGAGAATAAGAGCTGAAAAAATTGCGGTCAAATCGAGGAATTTTAGGTTCAAATTCTCAAGATCAGATGCTGAAATCGAAATATGGACCATGGCGACGAAGGCTCATTTTAATTACCAATAAATGATTCACGAGAGAATTTTGCAAAAAGGCTTTCTACCGGTCTACTGAGGAACAATAGAACTTAATTTCTCATTAATCCAATGTAATTTTTTGTAAGTCTTGTAAATTGTATTATGACTAGATCTACTAGAAAGAATAAATATTCTTCTGTTGAGTTTTAGAAATTTATAATTTAGTTGAAGGGCAGATGTTGTAAGATCCTGATTGCGTAATACAAGTAATATTTTTAAAACAGAATCGAGGAATAAAACTAAGAACCAAACTATATAAGATGTTTATGAGTTAGAAGAATTATCAAGGTGTTTGTAAGCTACATGTTCATGTGGCTAGTAGAGTTTTTGATATGCGTATTTATTTTTGAGCATGAAATTTTTTCAATGGATGAAATCGATCCGAGCAAAATGGTGACATGGTACAAGAAAGACCTCAAGTGAATTAACCCAAATATCTCCACTACAAGGCAACTAAACGGGGAATTGGATACTCCCACTTATTTCAACGCCAAATTGCCGGAAACATGAAACATTTATAACGATTCAAAAGCACGCATCGGTTTTTGGGTGACTGTGACAATAGGTTTTTTGCCAACAACTGGGTTTTTGCGGGGAACGCAGTAACAACAGGGGAAAAATAGCTTAGTAGAGACAGCTTGTTTGCGGGGAACTGAAACTCGTCACGATTTCCTGCTACACGGAGATCTGCTTCGAGAGAGCTTTCATGAAAGTCAAGGCTTAGACAGCGTTTGGTTCTACAGATATTCTTCCTCATGCCTGTGAGCCACATGAACAGAAGTGCACTTAAGAGTGTAATGGCAGAATGTAATCGAATATACAAGCCTTACAACGTACTTGCTTTTAATTATCAACGAGAGGGAGGTCCTTCTATATATTACACAAATCACAAATTGCAATATTTGAATAAGGACTCAAGAGTAGAAAATATCTCTCTGAAGTTAAGCGAATCCTACTTAAATATTCTTACAGTTTCTACGGCGGAAATAATTTCCAATTTAGAAAGCGAACTACTATAGGAACCAATTTTCCAGAAAGACCATTAAGACATATATTTACCCACAATTTTCGTAATGATGATCAACAAAAGTACTAACATGCAGGTGTACCATGAAGGCAAATAACAGAGCAAAATATATTAACTGACTACTCCAAAAACTACTCTGGCTTTTTCGATATTTTTGAAACATCCCAATGAAAAAATCTCAAACGGAGTTTAAAACGACAAGAATATAGAAAAACAAATAAAATATGCTCCAAACAACACACAGAAAAATTTTCCGTACCATGAAGTTCGTCTCTTGATGTTTACTCCCTTTGCATTTGCATGGCTTTTACCTCACGTTTTTGTAATTTGTTCATGATATTTTTTATTATGGAGTTAATAAAACTCGTAGACTGGCTCTTTCAGGGATTGAAAGGAAACAAGCAAAGTTACCTTAAGAGTTGCCTCGAGGAGATTTTAAGTGTCCTTAAATTGGTTTAACAAATGATAACTCATTCTTAGTAATTAATTGCCACTGAATAAGTAATCTGTGCAGATTTTGAGCGGTAAAGAGTATTTAGGTGACACGTGTGGCCAATACAAAAGCTTTTCGCATAATTTATTATTGTGCGCGCTCGTCTTGGATGAGATCACACAAGACCAATAAAACAAATGATGCAAATAAGTTCAATTAACGCGCCTCCGACAAGCTGACGATCGAGTGCAGTTGTCTTAATCCAGTACATTTCGCTAGTCTTATTCAAGTGTTCAACCCTTGGATTATTCTGGTAAGTTTAGTATCAGTTGTCATCAGTGAGACAAAATCAAATGTGCTAAAAAACGCTAGAACGATTGTTAATGAGAGAGAGATCAGAACGATGTGTGATACATGTATTTTATGCAAGCAAAGTCTCGCAAAGCAACTCAGAATGATCGTGATCTTTGAGTTTCGTCTTTGATACGGTTTTACTCAAAAGCATGTTAAATTTTTGCCTCAATAGCTTATTTACTTCACTCAATTGAGGACTAGATGATAGCAAACATATTCAATCATATGGCATCTATCAATTGCATCGATTTGACGCCAAAACTCACGACTACGTTCTCGTCTGTGTCAGATAATTTCGTCGCTAATGAAGTTAGGTCTCACACCTTCTCAGCGAACATTTGTTCCCTAACTATACCTATCGGTACTCTAAACATCTATAAGCCTTGAAAATATCTAATTTAAGTCAAGACCATCAGAGTTCAAACGCTACGCTTTACATAACATCAATCAGTCTCTCCTGATTATGACGTTTCATTTGCTACATTTGTTTCTTGGGATATCACGTCTCAATTGAATTTCGAAAACGCGTCCAGAGTGGCTGCTTTTAAAATCATATCGGCGCCGGACTAAGCTTCAACCTTTCTGTTGATAAGAAAGAGATTTTTATGCGATTTTGCTCCGTGAAAGATTGTCTTGAGATGAAGACACCGTACGAGATGTCGAACGGAAGAAGAATGAAACCAGTTTGGTACAATAGACTCTTAGTCAAGTTTTCAAGATTACAAGTTCATCTTTCTTCTCGACTCTGCTTGTAAGATGTTGAATGATTGAATTAATAGAGCTGTAGTCTTCCATAAATATCCTCTCAGCTAACACTGGTGCAAAAAGTAATGAAGCAGAACACTGTGGGCCGAGTTAGTGGCGGATTATCTTTGTTTACCTAATCGGACCTCAAGGCAATAAAAATAATGAGTAACACAGAAGGAACCGGCAATCTACAAGAACCGTAGACATGATTGATCATGGGAAATGCACCATACAGTCGAACTTGCATTAAGAGGCACTGTATTAAGCGGTCAACTTGTATATATTAAGCAGCTGTAAAAGTTCCAAAATTCTTTCCCCTTCATCTAGTGGTCATCCGATCTAAAGAGACCATGGTTTCATTTTTTTACTGTCCCCAACCGCCTGTTTGTATTGTCTTCTACCTGTATTACACGGTCACTTACAGCAGAACTACTCAAAAAATATATATAAATAAAAGAATAATAATAATAATAGTAATAACGATAAAATAAGAAAGTTCCAAGCATATATTTCATCCGTGTTCGTCACCGGAAATCGATGCCAGTATTTTTTTTTTGAGCGATGTTTTGTACATTAATTAATTGGTCAATTGTGCCATAACATGGCGTTTTCAATCGTTTTTGTAATGATACCCCTTTACTGAGGAAACTGTGTTTCCTGTGGGTGACCGCTTGATACATGAAATAACAGGCTTTAAGACACATTCGTTTATTTTGAGAATCTATCAAAAGCAACATGCTAATTCACCCCGAGAGCAACACGTTTTGAGTTGTCTGTGAGCAAATAGAAAACTTAATCTATGGTTAATTCTTCTTTTGTCTTCCTCAATCAAGTCAGGAAAACTGGGAGCCACAGCTGAAGTGTCACTCTAGAATTGTAGCTGTGCATTCGCATTTTAAAATAAACGATAGCTCAATTCTTAGGCTTTTTCTCTTTCTCTTAAATTGCCGTGAGACTTACAACAAGGGAAGTAAAATTACTTTTAAATTACGTGTACGTGCTTGCATTTTTACTGCAAGGCACGGAAATTGATATGATTTTTCAATCAAGCCAGAAAAATTGGGAGCTAGAGCTGAAGTGTCGCTCTAGAATTGTAGCTGTCCATTAGCATTTTAAAATCAACGAGAGCTCAGGTCTTAGGCTTTTTCTCTTTCTTTTAAATTGCTGTGAGACCCACAACAAGGGAAGTAAAATTACTTTCAAATCACGTGTACGTGCTTGCATTTTTACTGCAACGCACGGAAATTGATATGATTTTTCAATCAAGCCAGAAAAATTGGGAGCCAAAGCTGAAGTGTCGCTCTAGAATTGTAGCTGTGCTTTAGCATTTTAGAATCAACGAGAGCTCAGGTCTTAGGCTTTTTCTCTTTCTTTTAAATTGCTGTGAGACCCACAGCAAGGAAAGTAACATTACTTTCAAATTACGTATACATGCTTGCATTTTTTATTGCAAGGCACGAAAATTGATATAATTATTAACACCGTTAACTCGAGGCCGTCAGTGTTCCATTCGAATCTGACTCATGCAAACTGAAACCAAAATTTAGTCATTTTTTCACTCAAAGGTGACTGATGACATTTAGCATAGAATGAATTGTCGTGTTCCTTTTTGCACGAAATCAGTTCTTTTTTTGTAAGTACAAGGTTTGCAAACCGTCAAAGATCAATTGGTCACGTTCTATTGCATACTTAATGAAGCATATCTGTATACGTTCATTTTACGCTTTTCTGATAATTGCATGTGGTTTTATATAATTAGTAAATGGGTTCTCAAGTGACTTTCGCCGCCACGAAATCATCGGCATTACTTATATCTGAGTTTGCTATCGAATATCTTTAAGTGTTCGACTCGACTAACGAACGACCCGTCTAATACGTTTACTGACAGTGTGACTACCTAGCAAGTGTCAGCGTTTGATTTACTGATAAAGAGACAACAAAGAGCAAAAGGCAGAGTTGGTAAAGGAAAATTTTCTGTATACACGTAATTCTTTGAAATTGTGGCTCTGCAGAGTTCTTTACCTCAGTGGCAGCTTGAGATCTGTTGGCATTCATAAAGAAAGTTTTAATTTAGCATACGACAAGGACTGTACGTTGTGGTTCATTCACATAATGCTCAAAATGCACTGACTCAAATTTGTCACTCAAAATTTGTCAGTATTTAAAAGATTATCTATCGAATGTAAGCCTGCCACAACATGAAGATGTTAACTGAAGAAGCAAATTTCCAAGACATCTCCTGGACGTTTTTCGTTTTGTGTCACAATTTAATTGTTCGTTTGTTTTTTGGTTTGATTTTCTTTTTTTATTGGACGCTGGTATATGGCTGTTTAAAAAGCAAAAACAATAATAACATATAGAAAATCTTTCTTTTTCGTTTTTACGGAAACTTGCTGATATTTATAAAAAATATGACATGAAAGATAATGATTTATCTACATGCAAATTCACGGTTATGTATATTTTAAGTATTTAGTAATTAAGGGGGAAGATTTATTTCCGATATCTAGCCTTTTCGGTTGAAGGAAAAACTGATTTAAATGATAAAATATCATTCCATTTACGATCAACTTGTAAGATGTCTATGAAGAATATTCGGATATAGATTCGAGGGTTTTGAATCAAACTCAAAACTGAGATACCAAAAAAATATTGTTGATATCAATTAGGACCGACAAAAAAAAAATTAAGCCGTCTTAATTCGTTCACAGTTATGGTTTCAAATAACAAATGGTTTCTTGATATTACAGAAATAGTCTGATCGCTTGAGGAAAAATGTGTGTTACGAAGATTTGCCTCGTCCGAGAGACAGCCTGGCGTAGTAATAAGGATTCGTCAGTTAACAAGATAATAGGACAGATGCAATAGGCAAGTCGTGTAGTTGGTTTATAGGGATGTTGCTTTAATCAATTTTTTTTTTTGCAAGTTCAAGGATATTAGAAGCTTAAATAAAAACAATGGCAAAAAATGTATTGAGAATGAAAAAATAAGTAATAATCAAAATGTACTTGGCACCAAAACAAGATTGGACGTCTCGATTCATTAATGGTTATGTTCGTAATTAAGTACTGGTATATTGACATTACAAAAAAAAGGAAAGAAAAAAAAAACAGCTCGAGCCCGTTTGGTAAATTATTTGCTATGAACTTGTACTGTGTTGGAGCGACAGCCTGTCGCACTAGTATTATTTGCTATGAACTTGTACTGTGTTGGAGCGACAGCCTGTCGCATTAGTAGTTATAATTATTTGACAATACAACCTTACCAAAATGCAATAATTATAGGCATGTCATGTGTTTGGTCATGCATTTGAAGATAATCGAAGCTTGAATTAAAATTTCATAAAAAACAATAAAACTACAAAACGAACACACGAAAACTAAAAAAGCGATTATAAAAGGAAGAAGGTAATTCCGTGAATTAATACTCCCAGGTGTTCGACAGTGGCCTTAAAAGGAAATATTATTTTCAATTAAGCGGAGATTCCCAAATGTTTGCCTTTCTAATATCCCTTGTAGTTTCATTCGTGCAAAAATATTTACCAATTTACTAACCAATCAACTATGTCAGTTGATTGGTTAGTATGTCAGAAATACAACTAATGAAGTCACTGAACTACACAAGTTCGGTGACTTCTTTAGTTGTATTTCCACTTGCAAGCATCGTAACTTCCATTTTTTTTTCCTTTCATGCATTTTATAGGATAAATGAAGCCCTCCTCATCAAGGAAGCTCTCAATCAAGACATGTATCTTCGCAAGCGTTCTGTTCATAATCCGCCTGAGACTGTAAGTATACTACGATATGAGATGTCTGATCACTTATTTCTCTCACTCAGACACACCTGTGGGTTGCGATCTATTATGGCGAACAATTTGTTTCCTATTGCGAAGAATACATGCACAATATCTGATGATTTTAACGCTGATACGCGCAGATATTTTGCGAGTCGAGTGATTTTAGGAGTCTTTCATTGCAAACGAAAAAATACGTTTCCTCTGACATTCTCCGCTTAAAAAGCCAACCATAAAGAAAGCAAACGAATCGAAGTTTGTTTTTTTGAATGTGGTTCTATAATGTTATGCCGTTGCATGTTTTCAACTTTATGTTACATTGATCGATATTGGGGAAAACTTTATATACCCAAGAGGGCCGGGAATGGTGAGAAATATCATTTATACAAAGTTCTGTAGTCTTTTTCAACATTGGTATTTATTCTAGACAATAGATGGTTTGTTTTAAAAGCCCTATTGCCGGGACCTTTTTAAGCTATATTTTATGACGCTAATCCTAGAGCCGACCCCTGGTATTCGAAGAAACGCTATCACCGAATAATCCGGATCGCGACTTTAGTTTGTTATGATATTTCTGCTGGATAGCGATTTTTCCGTTAATAGTTTTATCTGCCCTCTGAATAACTGAACCTTGAATCAGGGATATCTCATATTTGCAGAGCTCATGGGGAATCGGATGTGATAAATACGCTCTTCGCTAATTACGACAAAGCGTTAAGACCGTACTATGGTAAGCGATTATTTACGGTCAAACAATTTTTCTCTTTTCTACTGATGTCGATTTTGTCAAGTTTCCAATAGCAATCATGTCCTAATATAATTGCAACGTGCTACACATTTTCCTTTAGAAAAGGGAACGCCAACATTCGTCAACTGCACTCTGCTTATCGAGTCGTTTGGAAACATCGAAGAAGCCAACATGGTATGTAACTACTATTGGAAATAATGTGAATGAGATAATTGGTTATATCAACTAAGTTCAGTGGAAATTGTAAATTGGCCACCGTAACGAATAAAAAAGCTGACGTTTCGAGCGTTAGCCCTTCGTAAGAGCGAATGTGAATAAGTTGATCAGTGGTCTAAATGGAAATTCACTTCTTCACATTTTTCATTCTACCATAATTTATATCATTTTGAACTTAATTGTATGTATTCCACTGCTATAAAAATAGCATCATGTCTGAGAAATCGCCTTTCTGCCTAATTATCTTCAAAACCGTACCTGTGAAAGCTCACCAATAATCTTCATTTAGCTGAACTGAATCCCATTGAAGTTCACCGGCAGGGCTTTAATTCAAAGAATTCTTTTCAGCTTCTTTTGTTTATGAATAATTTTATTTGAACCAAAAGGTCGAGACAGCAGAAAGCAAATCGTTATCTTCAAGAAGAGTACGACATTTTTTTATTTTCCAAGACATGTTCGTAACATCGAAACTTGTGTTCGAGATCAAAAAATGTCGTACTCTTCTTGAAGATAATAATTTTAGTTCTTTGGAAAGATCGCTATTCATCCCCTCTTTCCAGCAAGTGATATATAATGACTGCACCCTGACCTAGACAAAAGTCAATCGATAAATGATATCCCACTACTTATCATGAAGAGTAAAACTTCTGAGACAGGGTATCTGTTTATTTCATTCCCAGGAGTATAGAGTGTACGCCTATTTCCACTTAGCTTGGAAAGATCCTCGCTTGAGTGGAAAGCTCAACCGCACCATTAACTTAAAGGGAGATCAAATAACCAACGTTTGGGTCCCAGATCCCTATTGCTACAACGCACGCGAGTCAAACATGATGAGCCCGGATGAGGAAACTCACAGCAATCTGAAAATTAAACCTGATGGAGAGATATACTATAGTAGAGGGTAAGAATGTGACGAGCTAACGCCATTTGTTTTCTTATCAAAGGAAGACAAAAGGTTTCTTTTATTACAAAATGGAGTGTTTAAGAGTGTTCGAATTTCGGCCCGGATAGCTTGGCCTACTTACATCGATTAGAAAGTTGCGCTGCTACCCATTCTGTTGTACCTTCAATAATAGGGCCGATTTTACGAGACAAATAGTCCATGGCTTCCATAGGACGCAAATTGGACCATTTATACAAACACACCTTAAACAAACAGCAAAGTGCTCATTTAAAGGGTTTGCATTTTATGTCCTATAGAGTTATACAAGCGGTCGCGAGCGCAGGAAACGCAATAGCGCAGGAAACGCAATAGCGCAGGAAAGAAATTGCGCTTGCCGCCGCAGTGTAAGTTCGCGTCTTACACAAGCCGTGGACCGGCTGCGATGTCATTTATAAGAATGCTTGCCTCATATTTAAGCCGCAGCTTGTTGAAGCCGAGGATTACATTCCTCGGATAGACGGCGCCGAATGTCTTTGAAATTATTATGTTGAAGAGGAAACTACTGGATGAAGAGATATTACTGTAGAAGCTAAAATGACTGAACAATATCATTCCTTTCAAAAGGCTATCGTTTTAGAATGTAAATTCTCAAAATCTCCTATCGGCAAATTCCACCTCATTTTCAGAAGCTCATCACAAGTTTTCATCCGATTGCAGGTTAACTTTGCTGGCCTCGTGCAGCATGGATTTAAAATATTTTCCATTGGATTCTCAGATGTGCTTTCTCAAGTTTGGAAGTTGTAAGTGGCGACATGCGAAATATAGTTTTCCCCCACGAAACCATGAAATGATTAGGATTAAGGAGAAAAATTCATGATGACGCGATAGCCACGCGAAGAGAAGGGAGGGAGAAAAACTGACATGTGATCACGTGTACTGTTCATCACGTCTGGCGTGACTACAGTAATTATTTGTCTCGCCATAGCAGCCAAATCAGTACCTCAATCGGAATGATACTTAAAATGTGGCTTACCTTGTCATTCCAACAGAAAGTCCGAAGTAGTCCATGACTTTTCCGATATCCTGAGATATACAAGAGAAAAAATGGCTGACTATCGAGCAGCAATGACTATTCTATAACACAGAATAACAAAACTTAACGCATTAATGAAAATTCATCAATTTTACAAACTCTTGGAACTTACCATTCTCACTTGCAGTTATAAGAGTGATAAATTCGTTTATTGAATCGAGCGAGACCACATTTTTCCCCACAGCAAAAATAAATCTTCTTGGTTTGCCATCACTGCTTTGAGAGGCTCAGACTTTGTGTGATCTTTCATTCTATCTATTATGCGTGCTACATAATGGAATAAACAATAGCATCACCTTTAGGAATAGGAGCTATTGTTGGGCCAAAATGAATAAATAAACAGAGCAAGATAGGAAAATCAATGGGCCACTCCGTTTTAGGTTGCTGTCCAATGCAGGTTATCACTTCGAAGGTTACTGATCTATTTTTCTCAACACACAGCTGTGGGGACCATATTTTTTGAGGTGGGGGGGGGGGGGAAACACCGGTTTGTTTTTTCAAAATCAACTCTTCTCATAGTGCTTGTGTGTAAACAAACGGAGGCCCCCTCTTGAACACTCACAGATTTTGTATAGATGACAAAAAAAGGAGAAGAAAGGGAGAAGAAGTTAAAGAAAAAGTTGTTTGTGTCTTTATTGATCAGATGGTCACACTGTGGAAGACATCATATTCAAGTGGGCTCCGGGAGAAACTGACATCGGGATTGGACGTGAAGAATTGGCTCAGTTTGTGTATACGGGTTCCTCACTGGAGTCTGGTGTGGCTGATATTTCCACAGGTTTGTCTATAAAGGTGTACGATACATGTCTGTTAGTTTAAAAATTTATATAGTTATGATATTTTGACTTTTTTTTTGGACAGCCTGACTACATTTGATATTTTAAGCTCATACGGGATATGGTTTAAGGGGTTAGTCATCATTTATTACTTGGGCAAGGGGGTGTGGTAGGAGGAGGATTTTCTTGGGAGGATCACATGGTTTTCAGGGGAACGGAAGGAGGATCGGTCATCGCCAACAGAGTATAAAGGGAGAAATAAACTGCCAATGAGGGAGAGGGGGTTGGGGGGGTCATGATAATAAAAGAATATTACTTAGTTCTTATTAACCGACCTAGCGCGCTTAATAAGATGTTTATTATGTGGCTGGGTCTTATATGCCAACTTTTTATATTCTTTGTACCTTTTTTTTTCTAGACCGGTCTAGATGCCAGTCTAGATGGGAAAATCTAGACCGCTTTCAATATTGATTTCAGCCAATCAAATTCGTGAATTTGGTAGTTTCCAGTCCTTGTGAGACACAGCCATATAATAGAAAGCCTTATGGAGGGATCTGGTAAATTTTATAGTGACACAACCAAAATCCTCTGACCACTCACCCTCCCTCCCACGTGACAAATAATGACCGGCCACTTATTTTTGCTCCAGGTAATTACTCAACCATAACCGCCAAGTTCTCATTTAAGCGGCGCATCGGCTATTATCTGATCCAAGTGTACTTCCCGGACGTTTTCGTTGTGGTACTTAGCTGGATTGTCTTCTGGATGGAAAAAGACGACATAGGAAACAGAATGGCCTTGGGAATCACCACCATTCTAACCATGATGTTTCTTCTTGGATCCTTGAATGGAAACTTGCCTAAAGTGAGCTATCCAAAGGCTCTGGACTGGTATCTTTTGTTTTCATTCAGCTTCGTATTCCTGTCTTTGATTGAAAGCACAGTCGTGTTCCTTTTCGCAGGGAAAGCTAACAAGAACGAAAAGATTAAATGCAAGGTAAAACGTAGTCAGAGTCATTGTGTTACTACCTGAAAAATTTAATCCTAAGGCCTCGTCGCTTCCCTTCTTCTCTCTTCTCTTTCTCCCACATGGTTTACTGTTTTGAATCCAAATGACCCTCTTTCTTCTCCCTGGAGCATAGAACCTTGGCCTTGCATGACATTTCTTTACCATAAACCTTCGACTCGGTGGGAAGTAATTCTTTCAACAAAGCCATTCCTCCTATGATTTGCTTGTTTCCCTTCAAACGAGCCTTTTCTAAAGGGGAGGGATTGTCGCCCAACGCCAACCCTTTACCTTCCCAACTGGCCATAGAATTTGCCATAAAGGTTTTTTTTTTCCTGCATTTCTCTTTTTTCTCCGACCGAACGTCCTCTCCTATACCTAAGGTATTGCTCACTCTTTGTTATTTTCATTTCAGAAACACACCATTCCTCTCACGACAAGAATTGCCTCATCATTGAAATGCTTTGTCCGTTCGAAGAGCGCAGATGTCAACAACGCTAGCGATGATTACAAAGGAGTATCTGAAAACGACCTCGAAATGGGTTTCCGCCCAAGTAAAGCTGACAAGGCCTTGGTGGATGACGCAGAAGCAGAAGTCCCACACAACAGGAGCACCAAGATCAAACGGATGGAGAAAAAAGCCAGCAATATCGACCGTGTGTCACGCATCCTGTTTCCACTAGTTTTCCTTGTATTCAACCTATTTTACTGGACATTTTTCAATGGTCATGTGGTTCAACAGCAGTAGCTCATGTGTTTTCAACCCCAGTGTGATTTTTTCTAGCTTTCAAGTGAAGAGGTGCACCTCACGTACACTTTGAATGAAGTCTGATTATGGGCGCTAATAAAACACTGTAGAACACAAAGAGAGCATGGAAAATAAAATGGACTATTACCGAAAATCGTAACGCTATGTAACTCTGAACGTTAAACTGTTAGCTTTAACTAAAGACAAAGGATTGTCACATTATGACACGCCAGGAAGAAGGAAAGTTTGGAAAGCAAAGTATTATGGTAGGTTTCCTTCTTGGCCAAAACAAACCTTACACGTAAAAAACTAGGGGAACAAATCGAAAAATTAAAAAATCAAAACAAAACACGACTAAAAAGCCCGCGCGTAATCTATTGGTTTAGCCGATACGCTGAATACATAATGTTTAGTTATATGAAAACAGTTATACAAATAGATGTAACATATGTTGAAAGTGTACGTGTATTTGAGTTTTGCTGATATCTAAATTCCATCGAATAGAAATATTAACGTGCATTAGCTTGGCTATCATTTTTGTATCTGACTAAGAATTTTTAGTATTGTTATTGTCACTACTCGTAGAACGCACGGCGGTTCAGTGAACCAAACCAAAACAAATTTATTACAACGGCCAATGGTAACGCAAGAGAATATTACAAGAATCCTGGGGACTCAAAGTGAAAACAGGCGAAGTATCTGACGGAAGGGAAACCGTCAATAACCAGGTCCCGATCGCATCAAGTCACAGTTGGTTTTTTTTTTATTTTTTTGTCTTGCATCGACTGCTCATTAGGGTAGTGCTCGTTTTCTAGACCAATCACAAAGCGAAGCAAGGGAAAGTGACTCAAACGAAATCGTGGATTACTTTCGACGCTGTAACATTATTCTGATTATATTTTTCTCTTCCCTCTTATTTACTGGTCATCTCTTCTTACCACGGCTACTTGTACACCTTCTTTGCTCTTCCGTTCAAAACGTGTATACACGAGCCAACAGAAACGATTCGCCCATTTTATTGCATAGTAATGGTATGTTCTCAAAGTTGTCATTTCATGGTGAAACATGTGAAAGTTCTGACTCAAGTAGATCGCACCAAAGATAAGTTCGGATTTCATGAGAAAAAAATTATCATTTCCTACTGCAAGTAAAGCTCTCCTGGATGAAACATAGCTATCCGAAGATAATCAAATCGAAGCACAGTCAGCGAGCTATTGAACCTAGGAGGGTTAGCCTGCAAGCTGCTTCGATCAAGTTTAGCGTTCAGTACTTTCTCTCTTTCCACCTTTACAGGCTAGCTGCATGTACGCTAAGTGCTGTCATCATCAGTTACTCGTTAGTTTTTTTTTATTTTTTTAAAGGCTTTTGGATAAGTTGTCAGTAAATTATAATGGCCTAAATATCATTGCATATACACGCGAACGACACGTATGTCAGTTAGTGTTCGGGTGCGTGAGCTACAGCTCTACGGGAAAATAAAATAAACAAAATAAAAACCAACAGAAGTAAAAGTGCTAATCAGTAAGTAAACCAATAAAGCCCAACATATTTTTCTTTCGTATTTCGATAGGATGTCTCCAAATCAATGCAGAACCCATACATGTATGGGTTCTGCATTGATTTGTACAATACATGAACGAAACAGTTTACAGAGCAAACAAGGCTAGAGCAAGGCCGTGGTGAATGATAGTTCACGTAACTAAGATATGAAAGGGAAAAGATTGAAGACTGCTGACTCTTTCGATAAAGCTAACAAGGTTTGAATCCGTTTCCTACCGTTTTCGTTTCTGTAGCACTATGATATAGGGGGGAAATACTCTGACTTTGTTCGCGAGGAAAACGAATGAAAAGAGCGGAACAAGACCATTTGAGATAAAACAGCAGCAAGTCTTTGCTGGTCTAATTGATTTTCTACGCTATTCAATAACTGCTGAACTAATTTTAATACTGGCCCAGATTTCGAAACATAAGGTTTAAGTTACTACTGGGGACAAGGACGTCTTGCTCTGAGTTAAAACAGCGTACACTAAAGAAGCTTTTAAACTTGTTATGAATTCAGTTCAGGTTCTAAGTGTGTTAAGTCACGAACTAGTAAACTTGCGTCATTTTATGCGTATCGTGAGCATTTGCAACATCTGGTATTTTGATGAAAGTGTATTGCAAAAAAGTTGAAGTTTTTTTTATTACCTCTTTGTGTTGAATATGCTTGAATTGCACATACTATCCACAGACAGACGAACACTGGTCTTTCTGCCGTACCTTTGAATACGTGACACGGTAGACATGATGTTAGGCAGTTTTTGTGGAATTTTGTTATCTTGGTTGTATGTCCAGTTGTCTATTTTTGTTGTTGCTTTTTACGGTTGGGTTTTTTCTTTCCTGTGTTCTTGTTGCAAATTTAGATCTTGGAGTGTCTGCGCCATGGACAAATTTATGTCACAACAAAATGCTGAGAAAAAAGGTAGGAGGGTTATGCTATGCGAGAAACTGCGTATATGGAACTATTCGTGAGTGAAACGAGGCAGCTGCATCAGAAATGACTCGTACGTGATGAAGAAAGCTCGAAAAAGAGTAAATACAACTCGTCATTTCCGTTGCAACTGTAATGTTAATCCTAAACAAAAGTGAATTTGAGAACCCATGAATAATTATGTTAAAATCCCAATTTACTAAAGCTATGAAGATTGATCGCAAGAGCCCTAAACTATCATCTAATACTTCAATATGCATGTTAATGAATCATTTTTAAACCAATGATATATGCTATCACAAATCCATTCACTTTTAGTGGTTTTGTACTCACAGTTTAACACTTGAAAGTGTCAACCAGAACTCTCGTTAACATCATCATAAAAGGTGCATTATAATCAGTTTCAAATTAAGGTTTTTCGACTTTTGCAGCAAATAGATGGCTTTCTGATTTCGTGCGTTTGCTTGTGAAATAATTGAAAGAACTTGAATAGTTTAACACCGTTAATTCAACATGAAAAACTACGTACTATACACTTTGCTATTTAATTGGCAACTTGTGATGGAAAGGTATGAATTGTTAATGAATGTCGTAGAAATGTGCTTTCCTTAAAACATAAATTTTCACAATTCCGCAACCCGATATAATTGGCTACGTTCCCATAAATAAGTGTTTACAATATCAAATTGGAGCATTTGAAGTTTTTAAGGAACAAGAAACACTCAGAGATCTGGTGAGTTTGAACGTTTGTTGAAAATTACTTCAAAGGTTTGGTCAAAACTCTGTGATGTTAGCATGCTTTCAAGTATGCCTATGTACAGTTCCAACGCCATTTGTCAGAAAGAACTCCTGCGGTATTCAGATTCTGTAGACCCAGCTATTCGACTTTTGAGGAGTTTCAAGGTCGATAAATATATTTTTTTTGTACCAATACGGTAGTAACGACTCAACGAAGTAGAATTATTGTGAGAAAATTCTTAAGCTATCGTCTTGAAATTTCGAACTCTGCAATGGTGATGGATAGCGATTTACAACTTGCCACGACGATAAACTTCCAATATCCTTTATATATTTTCAATAAAATGCTTCACTCGCTTCAAAGTAGAAAACTTTGAGATATCAGTAACGTTGCAAACTGGAACCTTACAATTTCTAATTTATCAATTGAAATTGGACGGCACCGAGTTTTGACAATATCCACAAAAAAAAAATGAATGCCACAGACCTAGCTAGACTGGAGCAAGATAAATTATTCATGATTATTCTTAGAAATAATTCAAGTTAACGACAACATTCTAAAGAAGTTCTAAAATACGTAATTTGTAATTCATAGTTTCTTTCTGAGGCGTCTACCACTTCTTTAACTACATTCAACAAATGCTTTCTTTGTGGACCAAATCAAAATTATTTGATGGCTTTTAGAAGTAGGTAGTTTTTCTTATGAGTACTTCTCAGATACGGATAATTATGGAAACGCGAAGAGTTCTATCGAGATCGGTCACAGTTCGTAAGCATTTGGTTGGAGTTAAATTGATAATTAGGATTGGTGTTGGCTTACTTTACAATAACGCCTGAATTTAATGTGCCTATTTTAATGAGATTTTCACTGTTTATTTTTGTAATCGGGAGTTTCAAAATTCAAGTTTGCAACAATCTTTCGGTTAAGACTATTTCACGATTCATACCTTCTGATTTTTTGTCCGAAACCTAAGATTTTACAGAAATTCTTGATAACCATTCAACGGTTATTAGCTGGAACAGACAGCAATGATGATGCAAATTAATCGCTACTGTAATTAGAAATCCAAAGGCGAGGGTTGATCTATATTTTTCCCCTGGCAGAAAGATATCTTCACCGGTGACTCCCTATGGACTGACAGTTATCAGTAATGAACTATTTGTCACCAAATTTATCTAAAAAAAAAATTATCTTTTACATAATTCAGTCAGTAGGTGCGCTATGATTGGCAGATTAAACGAGCCGTACTTCACTGTACAGCTCCGCTTGCTTAGAAAGCTTTTTTGAGCTGAGATCTTCCCCCTTCTGAACCCAGATATTGATAAATAACTCGTTTTATCGGTCCGTACCGTAAGTTACAGACCTCATACACGTTAGTAAGAGGTATCTTTTAAGCAGTCATAGGAAATATATGCATATACACCAAAACCATTTTTATATTTGTAAGAGCTGTCTCAGTTCCTACACAAGGCACGAATGAACAGCTCTACAGCGTAATGTTAGTTTTACGGGCTTTTTCTCTGACAAAACACGGATTGGTAATTGAAAAATTAGGATAATTTTTCTGTATCATACTGGGAACAACAACAGCGGCGTTTGAAAATAGAGCCCCCTTGGCTCATCCAAAAGTGCTTCGTTCTCATTTTACACAAGAAGATCCACTATGCCGCTTTTCAGGCCTTTGTGGTTGTTTCCGAATTCTTCTTTAATTTTAGCAGTTGCTACGACATCTTAGTCAATTTAATTACCCTTTGCACTATGCTGTAATTCCCACAGCATGATCTCCCCTATTAAAATGTTAGGATCAATATAACGTGGATGTTAGCCGGCAGAAAACACTTTCAGCCCTATGTAAACGGGGTCAATCGAAAGATATCAGATTGAGGAGTGACTCTCAGTTCGTGCAGGTGTCACTGTTGTTGGTCTTTTCGACGTGGAGAGAATCTACTTCGAAGCGACGTCCACGTGAGCAAAATTCGCAAAACATGATTGGCTTTTTTACTATCCTCCAGGGATGTCCGATATCTGGATCGGTACGACAAAAGGTTGCAAGTGAGAGGGACAATTTTAGAAATAAGTGGGATATGGAACATCCAGTCTATTACCTAATCATTTTTTGAATAGCTCTGTTCGGTTTAATTTCGAGCATGATTCCTGCAGGCTGACAAAAATTTCTAATCTTTGCAGATAGCAAGTTTTTCTTCGCGTCGATGATAAACCATGATGGCGACTATGAAGCCAGAGAAAATATGTCGTCGCTTCGTTGGTTTTGTACTTCTGGTTATGCTGAGTCCAAAATTGTAAGTACATCAAACACATTAAAGCGCAGAGCTTCTCCTGAAAACAGGAGAAAAAGGCTACATTCTTGAATTTTCAATTGTCTGCAACTTGAAGTATTCACAGACAACCAACCTTGTAAGTAGCAACTAATTCTTGTAGGTTGCCTCACAAGTGGTGTTAAAATGTTTTCGATACATTCTCGTTAAGCAATGCCATTAAAAAAATCGAGCGAATTATTTTATTTATAATTTTTTCTTTTTGGTATGGAAATATTATTTCAGGCAATGTATATGGTAATCACTCATTTCATAGCATGAAGGCAGAAATGCAATCAATAGCTATCATAATAGTTCACAGCAGTATATCTGTTGGAGAGGATGAGGTCCTGGTTGAGGTTGACTCGTTGCCTCAATGAATAGTCAGCATGGTAGGATTATATTGGGAAATTAGTGAATCAATACAGTGACAAACACAAAATATGAGGTCTGTTTCCCCTTTATTACTGCCTGCGCGGGCAAAAAAAGGAAAAATCATTGAACACGTGTGCGGGTTTTGTGTTAACTAAATTTGCTGGACTCCAGGATGTTAGAAAGCTAGGTTGGCTCACAATCAAAGAGCGTTTAGAATTTAATATAGCTAAGCTAGCGCACAAGTCATTATACAATGAAACTTTCCACTAAAACTCAAGCAACACGTCGTAAATAGATATAGTCTTAGGTCATTAGCTGCACCAAAATTAGAAGCTTTTATTAAGCTTCTTGGGGAGCTAAGGAATTGCAGCGATCATGCACGTTTTTGTATAAATCTTAAGAGACACATACTGACATGCAATGAATAATCTATTATAGTTTTTATTATTCACTATTTTATCAATTTTGATTTATTGTAAATATTATGTATATAGTTAGTTTTCATATTAGTAGCGAAGAGCCACTATGTGGAAGTATGCTAATAAAGGTCATTATTATTATTATTATTATTATTATTATTAAATTCCAAAGCAAAGCAGTTTTCTAGTGAGAACAACAATAACAACAACAAAAATAAAATTGAGGTTACCGTAACAAATTTTAGGGTTAAAGGGCACCTGTAGCGAACTTCCATTTGGTTTACTAAACTTAAAATAGCTATGTTCGTGTCCACAGCATTTCTGCAAAACTAAACGGAAGCGCAGTCTCCGGGTCTATGCTGGCCAGAGTGTTCTCTGATTACGATCAAGTTGTACGACCTGGTTATGGAGGTAGAGTTATCTCAGTGCATTCAAAGGGAATAATGTTTACCACCCCTTTCAATTCAAGGATTCAGTTTATTCATTTTGGCCGAAATTGGGAGAAGCTATAATTCGGTGGCGCTCTGCGTTAATAATAATAGCAAACAAAAAAAAATAAATAATAATAATAATAATAATAATGATAGTAATAATAGTAATAATAATAATAATGATAATAATAATGATAATAATAATGATAATAATAACGATAATAAAAATGTGATTTTTATTTGAAACCCATAAAATTATTTAACATTTTTACACAACTTGATTCTAAAGCTAAGCCTCAATACTATGTGAAATCAATCTGTAAGTTCAATGAACAATGCTCAAAATCCAGCTGTAATAATTCTTCAAATAAGAATGACTGAAGCTTTCAAACCAAACTAAGTCTTAATAATAACAATCACTTATAAGATCAGGCAAGCTAAAAGAGCGTTTCAGTATTTACATAATTTACATTCAAACATATTTACAATACACTCGATAAACCATGAAACTATATTTTACACACAAGAGAAAAAGATATAAGAATTGCACGACCTAGATATTGGCAAGGCATCTATCTAATTCAAAGTCCGCTTCTTGAACATTACTTTTAATTGTTCTTTTAACTGTTCTTGACCCTCTAAGACAGAGCAGGGCCGACCTAAGGATGGCAAAGGTAACTTTAGAACGTATCCAAGAGACAGTGGTGGCATAGTCCTCCCCTTTCTTTGCGTAGATTACTATGGGTGGACACAACCTTTATATCGTGAAGCGCAGCAGCTCTCTAGAATGCGTTGAAGGCATTTGAGGCATCAATTAGGAGTATGACGTCTGCTTCTTCCTCTTTGAATATGGAATGTATTGCATGGACAGCAGCCTCGCTCCCTCTCCTAAGGCCTGCTCACACCTGTAGTGCTCCACTCGCGTCGAAAACATCTTCCTTAGTAACCTTCATAACGCACTTTCCAATTACCCTTTTAATAACTTCACCCACATCAATCGGGCGCACTACGCCTTCGCTCTTGTCCAAAGGTATCAGCCTATTGGCTAATATTGGTTCGATAGTCCGTGGGTCAATATACTCTGTGCATAACTTCCTCGTCATTGTTGCTAGGGCATCACAAAATTTCGCACTTGATTTCTTGAAGGATTTGCAAGTGAGAATGCGCTTGAAGCCATTTGCGTCGACGCCAGAAGGGCCGCATAATCCTTTTGTTCGTAGTGCCTCGCGTATCATTTCGCCATCAATCTACTGGTATAGCGAATCATGTACTTCTTCTACCGGTCCAAAGAGTATCGAGCCAAGCTTTGCGTCTTGTGCCTCAGGTTGCTTCTCATGGAGCGGTCTCATGACGTCGTCAGTCAGCGGTAGCACCCCATCGCAGTCTTCATCGCTTACATATGTCAGAGCACATTTTATCTTCCCTTGCATGATTAGCTTGGCAAATGTCTTCGCTTTATCTGGTGGCTTGGCCCTCTTGGTCTTAAGGATAGACATTTTTAGACCGATCGTCCTTCGCGCAGTAGACTTTCAATTTCCCCTTCTTTCCATAGCGCTAAGCGTTTTATCAGGCATTGTTGGTGGTCTTTTGCTTTTGATTTCATGCTTGGCTTTTGTAGTGCCTTTGCCAATAAAACAATAGCGGATTTAAACGCTAAGTAGTGCACATGTGATGCATTGCTCCATTTAGTAATGGGATGTTTTAGTTGGTCAATAAACTCTCGCCCGACTTTACCATATGGAAAAAGGAAGGTGTTTTTGCGCCATTGTATGATTTCATCATCAGCTTTAATTGTGGTTGACGAATTGACTGTTATCATTGTTCCGTTCACTCTACGCCCCCAGGTGACTATTGATGGATTGTCCACAGCACTGAAGTCAGGTAGATGTCAGGGTGCGAGCACGCCAGCGCGAGCCTCGCTGAGAACATCATCAGTTACGGCTTCTGATTCTTGTTGTTGTTGTATATTTTTAGCGGTGCTATTCTCCTTCAGCGGCTCAATTGCAATATGCAAATTCAAGAAGTTAGCCGGGTCCAAATTATAATTTTGACTGGAGTTGTCGCGATTTTCAAAGTCGTCGCTTTCCTGTTGAGGAGGCGTAAATAAATTTCTCTGAAATCCCCTAAGGCTGACTGCTCTCCAACATTATCACCATTCGCCACTCCACCATTAGTCGCATCAGTAGCGCAGGCGTCAGCAATACTGTCATTCATTTTTTCAAGCCTGGAGGCTTGATCCCGTTGATTTTAGCTTTTGAATCCTAGATTTTCGCATCCTTTCTCGGCCCATAGTTCTGTTATTACCACTATATATTTCTCTTTGTTACCATTTTCTTTGCACGGTGGGTTTTCTGATGCCACGACTTCCTTTGCTTTCTTCTTGTATTCTAACAGGTATTTGTTCATCTGCTCTGTCCACTTCACTATGGGTCGTGATCCTTTCGACATCTTGCTTACATGTTTACTTTTACAAGCAGTTTCGCCAATCTGCTGATCAAATAATAATAATAATAATAATAATAACAACATTAATAATAAGAATAAATGGGCACTGGGGTAGGACAGGTTGGTGCCTTAGCCTACCTTAGCCTAGCACGGGAATATGGACGCTCCAGCCCACCAGAGTCTTGGGTGGCACCTTTGGCAAGTGCCGACAACCCAAAAGCCACCCGTGTTAGGGTTACACCAACCTCAATTGATGAGAGAATGTCAAATATTAAATTTCATGATCACGACGTTAACGGGACCGAAGCTTTTGACGAAGGTGTCGCGTCCGGCAGGTCTCCTGTTTATCAGCAACGCAGGCGCGGTCGTCATCCTGCTACTGCTGAACAACGACCGAAGAGATTAGGATGGACAAAGGAGGACAACAAACGGTTGTTCGAATGTTACATAAGAATTGAACCAGAGAAGCGAAGATACAGGAAAAGAATATTGGACCTGTGGTCAGCCCGTAACACCAAAAACGAACTAACAGAAGTCACCGAGCAAAGATTGGCTGATCAAGTACGCGATATTAAGAAAAAGAAGTGGCTCGAGACTATGAAGAAAGAGGAAATAACCCAACGAGTAAGACATGAACATCAGGAGATTGAAAGTACTGAGACTATCACCACAGAAATACCAGACCATGCAATAAAATCGATACCCAAGAGGAATACCGAGGTGAAAATAGCATTTCAGTTGAAGAGGAATCCAGAGTTTCCTCTACTGAAAAGCAACAGCAAGAAGACACCATCCCAGACCTTGATGCCCTCTGTGACAGGATACTAGAAATTATACAACTAGAAAGGAGAGTAGGACTACCACCACTGAAATCATGCGATAGGACAAAGCTCACAGCACAAGTTGGAAAAGTCAATGAAGTCGTCAAAAGGATTCAGATGCACCACATCACTGAAATGAATTATTTAATGTTTGCAGCTGCATATGTTACTACAGAAAGAATGGGAATGATAGAGGGGAGAAGAGGGAGAAGGACTGAAGAGCCATTCTGGAAGAGAAAGATTACGAGGAATATCGAAAAGTAGAGAGAAGACCTGAACAAGATTGAGGAAATTCGCAAAGGAAAAATGAGATTGAAACAAAGAGAGAGGGAGAGGTTGAATAAAAAAATACCAGCTGGCGGAAAGGAATACTTTGTATGTCTCAGGCATGTTGAAACAGAAGATCAACTCAGGTGGAATTAAGATTAAGAGATACGATGAGAGATGTCAACAGTTCAAGCAGAACAACCTGTTTATAACCAACCAGAAGCTGTTCTACGAAACACTAGATGGTAAAAAGCCAGGAGAAACAATACTACCTGACCCCACAGAAGCAACCTCCTTCTGGAACAGGATCTGGTCGGAGGAAGTCGGTCATAACGAGAGCGCATCTTTGCTAAAGGACATTGGGGGGGAGTTCAGCAAAACAGAAATACAGGGAGATATCAACATCAATACGGAAGATATTAGAACTGGAGTGAACAGGATGGCAAACTGGAAAGCAGCTGGTCCAGATCTAGTTAAAAAAAGTTAAAAAGTTAAAAAAAGTTAAAAATTTTTAAAAAAATTTTAGTTCAGGGGTTCTGGTTCAAGAAAATGACAGGATTGCACTCTAGATTGCAAGAATGTTTGCAAGACTGTATACGTTTAAGGGAATGTACCAGAGTGGATGGTCAGGGGAAGAACAGTTTTGATACAGAAGGACGCGCAAAGGGTGCCCATCCCAGCAATTATCGCCCTATTACCTACCTACACATGATGTGGAAGCTTTTGACAGGAATCATGGGAGAGAAGTTATACCACCACTTGGAAAGACGGAAATGGTCTACTAACAGATGAAAAAAAGGGGTGCAGGAGGGGATCCCGAGGAACTAAAGATCAATTGCTTGTAGACAAGGCAATCCTGAAGAACTGCCGAAGGAGGTTGACAAACTTATCAATGGCCTGGATAGACTACAAGAAGGCGTATGATATGGTGCCGCATTCATGCATCCTGAAATGCTTAGAGATGGTTGGGGCTGCCAAGAATATGATCTCTATAATT